GGCGGGACCTGGGCGGGGCCGGGGCCAGGCGTCACCTGGGGAAGCCGGAGCGCACGTGCAGCCCGTCCACGTTCTGGCTGACCAGGAAGCGCAGGAGGCCCACGCGCTCCAGCTGCACCAGCGCCATGTGCGTCTGCGTGGGCCGCGCGCTCTCGAAGGTGGTGTCGAACTTGGGGGCCAGGCCCCGCTCCTCCATGGTCCACACGCCGTGGGGGCCCCTGGAGGCGGCAGGTGGGGAGAGACGCGGGGCAGGAACGGGGAGGGAGGGGCAAGGAAGACACAGAGGGTCAGGGAGAGAACTGGAGAGAAAGAGAGAGTCAGAGACAGAACAAGGGAAATCGTGAGTTCGGGGGACAGGAAGAAGGGGACGGAAGGAAGAGGGCGGCAGAGAGAAGGACGGAGAGAGCAAGAGGGACGGAAGTGGAGAGAGACGGAGAGAGGGAGAGGCAGAGAGACAGATGCACGTGAGGGCAAAGGTCGATTATTCAGTCAACCAACACTTTCTGCTGCTGCCCTGAGCCTGGCCTGTGACGGGAGATGCCGAGGCCCCCGTGGACCTGATCCCTGTCCCCCAGGATTCCGATCTGGTGGGGGAGACACAGCGACACAGAGCCTCTGGCCAGTGTCTGTGAGGCACCTGGGGCGGGGCGAGCCCAGTGTAGGTGCTGGGAGCTCTGCCTGAGGCGCGCGGGAAGGCTTCCTGGCGGAGGCCGCGCAGTCCCTTGAAGGGTGCGGGAGGGCAGTTCAGACAGAAGGGGCAAACAGAGGCCTGGGTGCAGGCATCAGCCACGAGTTTGGGGGCGGCGGGGCCTGAGGTCGGAGAGCTGACTGCCAGTCCGAGGTGTGTAGGCCCACTGCACGGCACTGGGGAGCCACGGTGGATTAGAAGGAGGGGGAGGAGGAATTCGGGCCTCGGGATTCTGACGTCCCTCCAAGGATGGGGACTCGGCCCTCCTGATGGGAGAAAGCTGGGCAGGGGGCTCAGCAATTCTCAGGAAGAGAAAATCGGCGCGCCAGGCCGCCCTTCCGCGAGGGCTGCAGAATCAGCCACCTCCAGGGACCACCCAGGGGCCACGGTTTGAGACCCCTGCTTTTCAGCAATGAGACTCTTGTCGAACCCAAGCCCACTCCCTCGTTTAAGGGCGAGGAAACTGAGGTTCCAAGGGGTTAAGTCACTTACCGGACAGCAGGTCCCACTGGGAACTATTTGCAAGGGAGCTAACTGTCCCCCAGATGGCAACTCAGCCCCAGTAGGGAGCTATGCACCGGACGCCCACACGAAAAACTACATTTCCCAGCATCCCTTGCAGATGGGCAACACCACGAGATCAACTTCTAGCCAATGGGAGTGAGAGGGCTGAGGCCACGTGGCTTCCAGGGACACACCCTCCCCAGGACCCACAGGGAGGGAAGGATGGTAGCCATGGCAACCCAACCCCAGCAGAAAGCCCTGCACCGGCTGCCTGCACGGAAAAACTGCACTTTCCAGTATCCCTTGCAGCCAGGCAATACCTCGTGACCGCCTTCTAGCCAATGGAGGCAAGCGGTCTGCTGGGCGTGGCTTCCAGGGACACACCCTTCCCAACACCCAAGGGTGGGACAGACGGTAGTCATGGCAACCCAACCCCAGTAGCGCGCCCTGCACCTGCTGCCCACACAAAAACTACATTTCCCAGCATCCCTTGGAGCCGGGCGACACCACGTGACCAGGCTCTAGCCAATGGGGGTGAGCAGGCCGCTGGGCGTGGCTGCCGGGGACACACTCTCCCCAAGACCCACAGGGAGGGACAGACGGTAGCCATGGCAACCTAACCCCAGTAGAGCGCGCTGCACCTGCTGGCCGCACGGACTACATTTCCCAGCATCCCTTGCAGCCGGGCAACACCACGTGACCAGACTCTAGCCAATGGGGGCGAGCGGGCTGCTGGGCGGGGCTTCCGGGGGCACACCCTCCCCATGGGTCCCGGGGAGGGAAGGATGGCAGTCCGGCGGGCTGTGCCTCGACGGCCCCCCCAGGCGCACGCACCTGAAGTCGGGGATGCCCGAGGCGGTGCTGATGCCCGCGCCCGTGTGGAACACCACGTTGGAGGACTGCCACACCAGCCTGGCCAGCTCCCACACCTTCCGCTCCAGCTCCTCGGGAGGGTCGAAGATCTGGGGGCCAGAGACGGGAGGTGGGGGTCACAACGTGCCCCCCAAGGGCCCAGGCCACCCACGAGCCGCGGGCCGAGCGGGCCCCGCCTTGCCCAGGGGAGGAGAGGCAACTCGCCCTCTCGTCCCCAGGCCCCTCCTCGGCCCGCCCCCTGCGGGGCTCCCACGTCCGCCCGAGTCCTCCCTGCGGCCCGCAAGGCCGCGCACGACCTGCCCGTCCTCTCCCCGTCCCCCCTTCGCTCACTCTGTCCAGCCACTCGGCCTCCTGCTCCGGCCCCAGGACCTTTGCACGGGCGGTGCGCGCTCCCTCGAACGCCCTTCCCCCCCAGGTGCCCCCGGGGCTCCCTCCCTCCCCTCCTCAAGGCGGAG